TTTTTAAAAAAATATTTTTAAAAAAAATTGAGGTTTATTATAAAATACAAGAAAACAAAAATGAGAAAATAAAGGGAAAGGAGAAATGGAAAAGAGAATAAAGATAAAAAAGGAAAAGAATACAATTAATCAGTGGAACAGCTTGCCTCCAGAAGTTGTGAATGCCCCAACACTGGGAGGCTTTAAGAAAATGTTGGATAGCCATTTGTTTGGTATGGTGTAGGGTTTCCTGCCTAGACAGGGGATTGGATTAGAAGACCTCCAAGGTCCCTTCCAACTCTGTTATTCTGAAGTATTCTGAAGATTGAGCAGATTGTCCTCCGTTGCTGCTTAAATTGAGTTATGCAATTCATTAGCAGTTAGACTTAGCAGTTAGACTTATATACCGCTTCATAGGGCTTTCAGCCCTCTCTAAGCGGTTTACAGAGTCAGCATATTGCCCCCACAGTCTGGGTCCTCATTTTACCCACCTCGGAAGTAGGCACACAACACTTTTGACATAAAGAAACGACTGTTTTGAATGTATTGCTTCATTAGTTATGTTCTGCTCCACTGCAAACATAGTTCTGCAGTTCCAAAAGTGTCTTAAACATCAATCAAAATGGGAAGGACTCCAGTCTGTTCATAGTCTCTTTGGCTTGGGATTCACTTTCCACAGCGGGCATTGGTCTTACTTAGTTCCAGGGAAAAGATTAGACAAACATCTTCCCAGGCTGTTGTTGATTCTTCAGAAACTAATAATAGAAACTTTTGACTTGGGTTTCTCTCAATTTTAAATGCTTTTGGTTTAATTGTGGCTACTTTTGTACTTAAGGGTTTTAGACTTCCATAGATCATTTACGAGATTTCCGCTTAGCTGCTGCTTGGTGCTGTGGGAACAGCTGGTTTTGGAAAATATGCATGATATAAATGCATACTCCTATGAATAAAATTAGTAAGAATATAAAGTTAGTCCTAAATGTAGCAATCTAGTTTAGAAGATGCTTGTTCATCTTGATTCATGCTGCATATTCTAATTCCACCATGTTCAGCAAGGAAATGAATATTTGGAAAGCATTTTTATGCTAGATTGGTATGTTATCTGTGTGACAGATGTAATACAGAAGCAAAGTGCATTGGGGGTGGGCAGAAGAGGTCAAAAATACCCTGGTGGTTGCAACTACATAATTAAAGTTCCTCTACTTTTTACATGCTATGGCACATTTTATAGCATGTGTAAAAAAAAAAAGCCGTGGCTTTAATTACACAGTCATGACTGCCATTTTGATTCTCCTCCTCCCCAAGTATGGATCTTGGATTTGGGAATACTTCAGAGATGGTATTCAGCTGGTTCTGACCAGTTCTGGGAAAACTGGTAGCAGAAATTTTGAGTAGTTAGGAGAACCAGTAAATACCACTTCTTGATTGGCCCTGCCCCCATCTATTCTCTGCCGCCTGAGACTGAGCTGATCGGGAGGGAATGGGGATTTTGCAGTAACCTTCCCCTGGAATGAGGAGGGAGTGGAGATTTTACAGTATCCTTCCCCTGGCATGCCCACCAAGCCACGCCCACCAAGCCATGCCCACCAAGCCACGCCTACAGAACCGGTAGTAAAAAAATTTGAATCCCACCACTGGAATACAAGGGTAAAATCTTTACTAGTGATCTGAAGCTCTCACTGTCATGTTTTTTTTCTGCCTTTCTTGGCAGTGTAGTGTGAAAGTAGCAATTAATAGAATTCTTGCTAGCAACCTTGAAAGAAGGGTAACGTTCTATTACGTCTGTTTTCTTCCAGGAACCTTGAAAAGGTATAAATTCTATACTTTTTCAGTATACCCTTTATGTAAAGATGAAATAAAAAAACCAACTTCCATCAGTATCTACTTCCATGAAAGTGGTACGTATATACAGTGCTGCTGTCAGGCCTGGAGCCATCTCTAATGGGAGTCTTCAAGGCTGCCACAGCGGTGGCTGGGCAAGCTATGGGAACGGGAGGGGTGGGATGGAGATAGTGTGGGGTGTATAATCATAACATTATTTTCCCTGGGAATCAAGGACGTCTCATCAGCACCTGGGGAAGCGTGACTGGAAGTTAACCAGAGTTGGAACAGTGACCGGATTGGACCACGTGACACACATTTGGATTGAGGGGAAGGAACTTTAACTTTACTTTGGGTGGGGAAAACGTGGGGCTTTCAGATTCAGGTTTTCCCCAGATGTGCCAATATGACATCTCTAATAAATCGATACTTTGAGGAAGATGCATTCCTTGGAGTTTTTATTCTATTGGGGGTGTTACTTGGAATTCTGACAGGTCCTGGGTTGATATGGAGTAAATTCATAACAGCTTTAGCTAAGAACTTGCGTATATTTTTCAGCAAAAAATATTTTTCCTATTTTATAAGGGATTAAAAAATAAAAAGGAAGTCTAAACTTGCTTACCTCTGAAAATAGTGGAGGATCACTAGGCAATCAAAGCTTTCATAGGCGGACTTCCGGTTATATATATGTATGTGTGTGTATATATATGTATGTACGTACGTACATACATACATACATACATACATACATACATATATATATATACACACACACACACACACACACACACACACACACACAC